GGAAGGAAGGAAGGAAGGAAGGAAGGAAGGAAGGAAGGAAGGAAGGAAGGAAGGAAGGAAGGAAGGAAGGAAGTTCCACATGTCTGTAACACCTTCTGTAGCTGCAGTCTCTCTTGAAAGATGTGGAGCAGGGGCTGTGGTTACACTTTTACACAACAGCTTCAAGGGCTCAGTGCTCACTCTGCTGAGGAGTCGCTCTCTCATCATTCAATTCCAAGGGCAGGAAATGCAGAGGCAAGGGCAAAGATGTCTTTGGAGCAGGGAGGATGGGCAGAGGCACCTGGAGGGGAAGGAGCTGCTGCCAGTGGAAGTGAACTGCCTGGGGACAGCCCGGAGAGCCAGCACGTATTCCTGGAGGAGGGAGAAGCCGCAGCAGATGGTGGCTCACTAGAAACAGATTAAAGCAGCTGGTACGGAAACAAGATGTGGCACCGAGGGTCGGTTCAGATCCGAAACAAACTGTTCCTAGCAGAGCTCGGGCTTGGTTGGGAAAGGAGAAACCTGTGCTCATTCCCTCCTCAGCACAAGGAGATTGGAGTCTGTGTGCCCCATCTCTCCCAGGAACAGGGACCTCAGGGGCTCAGAGAACTTGAGGAGCGGCGCTGGGAGGAGCAGGAGCTGGCAGGATGAGCTCCCTCTGCGTTGGAGAGATTAATTTCCTCTCACACCCACTGCAGCAGTGTTCCTGAGTGATGAAGTGTCCAAACCCTGGTGCCAGTTCAGTGTGTGACAGACACACTAATTTGTCCTTCAGCTGTCCCAATATGAATGCACCAGGAACCAGGTGGATTTTAGGAGCAGGTATTCCATGCTGCAGAGCCTTGCACGGCTGAACCCAGCGTGCCTCACAAGGAACAGAGCCTGCACCCACCTTTAGAACACTCTTTCACCTAGGAAATTCAGCTGTGGGACAGGCATTTTAGTACCTCTCTGATAATGAAAATTTACATGTGTGATGAATCACATCACCTTAGAGAAATGGAATCACAGAACCATGAAGGTTGGAAAAGACCTCCAAGATTGTTGGGTCGAACCTGTGACTGATCCCCACCTTGTCACCCAGACCAGAGCACTGAGTGCCATGCCCAGTCCCTTCTTTAAAAATCTCCAGGGATGGTGACTCCAAACATCCCTGGGCAGCCCCTTCCAATGCCCGACAGCCTTCTACATTTCCAAATACATTAAGCCCTTCCTGAACTGCAGATATATCCTTGCCTAGTCCAGAGCTGGGAGCCACTATTGTCCTCACTCCCAGGACAGACAGTTTTGGATACTCCTCCCTTCTCCTTCCTTAGGAAGATTGTCAGAAAAAGCCTTTTACTGCCCAAAGCATTATTGTTTTGCTTAGGTACCCGGCACACTTTGTACAAGAAAAAATAAATGAAAAATGTAGGTATTTGAAGTATGTCTTATAAACCCTAAACTAAGATAAGATTTAAAAAGAGATTTACTCATGCTGAAGGCATAGCCTTCATATTTGCCATTCAAGTGCTTTTGCTGAGGAACATCTGATTTGGTAAGGCAAGGAGGTAAAGAACTAAACCTGTATTTCCTTATGATGTGTAGCTTTGCCATACAATCGTGCACAGTCAAGGGAAGAAAAGGGTGATCCCATTAAACAGAATTTGCACAATTCTGTTGCATTTTTACCTTTACTGAGAGCAGCAATTCTGGAGTGGAGGGAGGCCTCCTGTTCTTCTCAGGAGGGCTCCAGACAAGGCCAGGCAGTGTCTGCTTATTTCTCTTGGCTTTCAGCTGCTCCACTATGATCATTTTTTTACACAACTTTCACTGCTTCTGCTGCTCTGAACTTGGCAGGGAAAGTAGAACAGTAGGACAGAAAGGTTTCTATAGTGGATCAAAGGACACAACTGCCCCTGGAAGCCTTTCCTGGATAAATTAGCCTATGGGGAAGGTAAAACTCTAGAGATGAGTTACCATTTGCAAAGCAGCTTCTTCATGTGACTGCAGGTAGGACAAATCAAACACTATTTGCTTTCCCTACTTTCTGATTGAGTGTAACAACACTGGGGTGTTCCATTGTCCATGAAATTCAAGATGAGAACCCACAAAATTGGATCTCAATTTCCTTAGATGTCTCCCATTCTGGAAGAGAAATCCAGTACACCAGAATAAAAGAAATGAAAACTGCAACTTTACAAAAAGAATGCTACTTTTATTTTCAAATGCTGTAAAAAGCCTCATATAAATTTTTATAATGCTTCTATGTAACTTTCCCAACCACAACTAATGAAACAGTCTAGGAAAAATATAGCAGTTGCCATTTAGACTCCAAGAACGAGCTGCTGTGAGATCCCAACAGTAAAAGGACAAGGTACAGTGTGTTACAATTGCTCGTGTTATTGAGAAAGTGAGAGCACTTCCTACACATTACCTGGGCTAGACTGCAGCATTCCCTGCTTGCTGGGCACAGGAGGAATGTCACCCCTGGGGAAGGAGCTGACAGCAGAGCTGTGTGCTGTTCCTGGTGCCCATTCCTGGTGCCTCCCAGCTCAACTCCCCCCAGCAGGTGCCTTTATCCCAGACTGTCTCCAACGGCTCAGGTGGGGAACAATTGACCTATAAAAATAACACCTCTATAACTCTCCAGCAAGGCAAATTGAACAGTGCAAATGCAGTATCAACACGATTTGATTTCTGAATGCTGGCAATTTTTTTTTAAACTCCTTTTGCACATGAGACAACCTCTGCTGATGTCCTGTACCTAAGGCCACTCACTCATTGCTGATTGGAGATGGAACGAAGTGCAAAAGCTCAGCTGCAGTTCCCAATCCAAGCTTCCTCCCCACTCTCAGGGAATTCCAATCCAGAATTTGGATTCAGGCTCTCCACTTCCATCGACGCACTCAAGTTTTCCCTGCTGGAATAGGTAACATCCCAGCAAAGCTCTGATAACAATTTGCATACACAATTTCACGTTTTAACAAAAGTTTAACAAAACATACTTCCAGAAAATAAATTTTCACATGGTTGCAATCATCAAGCCATTTCAGGATCTTTGGTACTCCAAGAATAAGAAAAATAAATGGCACAGTGACAAACATTGCCAAAGGAAAACACACAACCATCCAAAAGAATCAGACAGAATTAACAAAATTAAAGATATGTTGCACTTCAATTTTTTTTGAAAGCCAGTGTAGATTAACCTGCTGTCCTCTTTAATCCATTACAGTGTCACAGTTTCACCTTGGAAAAAAAAAACCTATCATCCTAAAAGCAGTAGTTAATATTGTTTAACTTGACTTACTGATTAAAATAATGCTATGTTTACAAAAAAATTTTAAAAAGTCAACTATCACAATACAGGAGTTTATGCTAGATAGGCTGCAGGCTGTTTCCTTATGGATATAACTCCTATGTGAGCACTGATATGATTAATCATCTGCAGTTTTAAATTAGTATTATCTTTAGTGTTGCAAATAGAAGGGTTGAGCTTCTTCTCAAGGTTGTAAACCAGTATGTACAGACATAGTTGTTTAATAGATAGCTTTAAATTAAGTGTGTATTTCTCTGCCCTCCCCTAAGCCCCACAGGAAAAAAAAAAAATCACCAGTATCACTGAGCATTTGCAGTTTCCATGAAACTGAGTTTGTCTCAACAAGTTTGAGCAAAGACTTGTTTGTAGGTCACGTTAATGGGGTTACTGTGCTCTTCTGAAAGGTGGTGTTTGCAGGAATTCCAATTCCAGTGCACACGGTGCCCCATGGATGAGACTGGAAATTAAAACCAATGAAAATTGTTTTGAATAGCAGTGTCATTTGAGGCCAAGTTTGTATCTCAGGATTTTTTTTTTCTGCCTGAGCTTCCCTGTTTTGGAGTCAAGGCGTTAGGAAAGGCATTTCCTTTCCTGAGAAGCCTTAGGAGCTGTTGGGACACTGGCAGAACGATGCCTGAAAGGTGGATTTAAGTGAGTTATTCTTTTTATACAGCCTTTGGGTGGCCACAGGTTGAGCCTCAGCACACTGACAAGGCTAAGACAACACCGGAGAATTTTTAAGACCCTTGCCCCAACAGCACCCTGTTAATTCATGTAAGGTCTGGGAAGCAAATCTGGGAGATCAAGGAACTGTTCCCACCTCAGTCCAGCATTCAGGCAGAAGCTCAGCTTAACTTTGCTCTGATATAACACTGAATGGGCCTGAGGCAATGGCTACTCCTCTTTGAGGAAACTGGTATAAATAACAGATATTAGATGCTTCAAGGGAGATAAAAACATGGAGGGAAAGGCTGGATCAGGGATCCTGGCTACATCAGGGAAGACTACCTGCACATCACAGGCACTGATGCCCAGAAATCCTACTGGCAAACGGGCTCTTGTGCAACAGATGAACATCCCAGTATGTTTTTCAGAGCATACAAATAATTTAGAACAGCTGATACCACATGGCCTAACAACAATAAATATTTCTCTGATGGCTTTATCACAGTAGTTTCCATATTGCTACAGAACTCTGTCCAATGGAATCTTTCCTGCTGTATGCCAAAACATCCTGTGCTCCACTCAGAGGGGGCTGCAAAACTTTTAGGGTGCCTTACACTGGTGTTCAGAGGAGTGAGACAGCAACAGTGACTCTGCTTGTTCAGCCACTGGGGAATTGTTCGTTGCTGTACATCTCTTTTGATCAGAAAAAGACAGCAGAGATCTCTGCTGGATGTGACAGAGTCAAAGCCCTGCAGATAAGCTGTGAGTACAGGCAGAGAAAATCACCAGTGACCAGATAATTGCAAACTGCTCAGGGAGTGCAACTCGGTCCTGAACTGCTGCTGGGCTAAAGAACAAAACCAGAGCCTGCACATGGAGCTATTTCTGCTTCTGTTTGCTCTGCCTGGGGGAAGGAGACCTTGCTCAGCTGTCAGGTTGTCACCATCCTGCAGGCTGGCCTCAAGAACATTTAGGTGGTCCCTGGAATTTGAGCTGCAGGCTCAGCTAATCTCTTCTAATCCCATGGCCATGCCAGGTGAAGATCCTGGAACAAAAGGAGAGTCTGAGTCTAGTGGGACACTCCATTTCCTCTATGTGAGCAGAGGCTGCGATTCCAGAGAGGTTAGAGCAGGATCCCTTCTGCCTGCAGCTGCTCAGGGAGGAAAAACAAGAAAAAAGCACCAATCTGATCACTTCTCTAGAACACATTTTGCACAGAGAGAAGAGAATGTTTGAATTATGAGCAGCTTTAGAGCAGAGGCAGGAATGCAGTCTTGGAAACTGCCATCTCCTCAAAACTTTGCATCAGAGCATTTCCCTTCTGCTAAAAATATTGATACTTTTTATTCAGATTCGTTTTTTCTTCTGAAACTGCCAGCAGGCATCATCGCCTCTAACAGCAATACTGCCAATGATCACTTAAACAAATACCACTAAACAGATGACAGGGACTGCCTCACTGCCACACACTGTGGGAAAAGGGACAAAAGGGATGATGATAAAGGGCTGACAAAGTCCTGCACTGGCACACAAAGAGGCCCAGAGGACACTGCTATTTAAAATAATTCCATGTGCTACACTCATGGGGGATCTGCAGACCACAAATGGAACACCCTTGAGCAACCGCTCACAGAGGTTTGCAAATGTGGACAGTTTTCTTTATACTGCATATCTAAACCCCACCAGGTGAGCAGTACAACAACAATGCTGCATCAAATGATATGTTTCCCTCCTGGGTGGATTAGATGGTTTACAGTACAAACAAAGCCACAGTACAGAGAGGCATAATTAACCGTTATCCACACGTAGGCAGTGCAGGAAAAGCAATGCATGTTCCTTTTATTCCAGTACCTTTGTATAATAAAGTTAACAAAAATATTCAAATATTAAAAAAAAAAAAAAGGAAAGAAAAACAAAAAGGAAAAAAAAAAAGCCAGCTGGCACTGCCAACTAATTCCTGTAGTAGTCTTAGAAATCCTAATCCTGTAGAATTTCCGTGTGAAATCAATGCGCACCAGTCGATGTGTTGATAACTAACGCCAAGCGGGCCTGGTGATGCAGCTACCTGAGGTTTGTGTTTGCAATTTCCTTTGGGGGGTTGTGTTCTGCTTCACAACTTCCCAGCTTTCATGTAGGAAGGGATGGAGCCACGCTGGGTGAGCCCTTCAAACCTCTTGTAGGTGTAATTGAGGAAAACCCAGTCTTTGGATTTGTAGTCAGGTTCCGTCGTGTTTGGCACTAGAATTCAAAAACAAAAGCAAACACACATTAAAACAGTTAAACCCAGGCTGCTTCTGAGAGGAGCTTTCACAGAACTAAACAGCCCTGAACTCTTATTTCCTTAGTCAGCAGAAACTCCTGGAAGAAATCCTATTTCTAATCAGGTCAGCTGTCTTTTGTCAATGGTCTGAGTTATAATTTCAGGATAAACTCTGAAGAAAATAAGGGGGGTTTTTATTTTGCCTTTTTTTTAACTATGTCTACACACTCTGCCAGGTTTCCATACCTTGACAGAAGTGTCTAACATACCCACAGGACACACAATTACTAACCTATGACATTTCTGATATTCTGATTTTTAGGTATCTACATCTACAGTACCATTTTCAGTGGGTATGAAATGCCAAAATAATACAAATGTTCTTGGCATTATCCAAAAATGGACATAACCAGTTTAGGCACTGGAGATGGGTTGCTTTGCATCAAAAGGACAAATTTCCTCACCATTAAATAAAAGCCATTTCAGAAAAAAAGAACCAACAGCTTTTGGATAATTCTTATGGCTGTTAACACAGTTACATTTAGCAGACAGCAATTAATTGCTGTTAAACATCTGCCAATCTTCAAGTAACTGAAAACAGTGGGACTTGGGACTATTTGTATGCCACAGAACCAAGCCTTTTACATATGAAAATTTCCTGTAACTTGCCAAGAGAAATCGACAACTAAAAAAAACCCTGAAGTGATTTACAGAGCCACTCAGGTTCATGAATTACTGTGTTAAGTAATCAGCCATCTGAAAATTCTTACCCACAAATATCTCAACAATTGTGTTTGGCACAAACCTCAAAAGTCACTGAAGATGAAAAGCAAATCAGTTCATGATGTTTTACCAGAATCTGGTTAGACAGACTGCCTAGCAGAAAACTCCACTGCTTTCTGTGCTCACTACCTGTACAAATCATTTTTACCAATGGGTTTGAATCTTAAAATCTCTGGGCTTTGCAGCTATCAGAGATCATTACATTCGTATTTCAGAGAAAAAAATAGAGACTTGATCTAGAGACTAACTTGATTGGGGCATCAGAAAAATTAATATAAACAACAACAAAAGCATCTGCACAGTATTCTAGCATGTCACAGAAGGAGACTTGGAGTTTACAATGGCAGGCTCACCTGGCTGTAAAATGTCCGATTCAGGAAATTCATCGAAGTTGGAAGTATCATCAATACTTTTGATTTCTATAGGGATTGCAGCTGGTCTTTCCCTGCAAATAAAGATAAATGCCAGAAGAGTGAATACTGTGTAATGGCACATGAAGTTCCATTTCTAACTTAGCTTTTTACACTTACAGCTCCCCTTAATGCAGAGCACAAGGGTTCCACTGAGTGCATCACAGATGAATCTGACTCTCCTGTTTGCTGACACCATGGGGAGATTGTTTGGTTCCCTGTCCCCACTGGTGTCTTCTTGGCAGGCTTGGGACAAACATCATTTTCCCATTAAGTGAGAGAGCATCCCACACTTATCTACCACACAGCTATCACCCTGATCTTGTCACCAGCCACCACTGTGGTTACTCTGTTTCACAAACCCAGCCCAGCAGGATTGCACTTGCACCCAGAGCTTTACAATTCCAGTGCTAATCAGCCTGGACCTCATCCAAAACCTTTGGACTGTAGCTCCTCTTTGTGACACTCAGCATCTCTCTCCCAAACCAGGCTGGCTCTGCTTTAGCACCTCCACAGTCAGAAAGCCCTTGAAGGAATTTTAAGGTGGCTTTTGAAACTGCCCAAGGAATCTGTGCCACCAAAACGTTCACACTGGGACACAGCACTGTGGGAAAGGGAGTGATTTACACGTGTAAACTCAGCACAGTTCTAATTACTACACTTATAATTAAATCCACAGCCACCCTACAACATTTTTTTGCCATTCTGGAGCAATCTGAGCTATCTCAAGACAGTTAAACTCTGACCATTTCTATGAATGTCAGCAAGGCCAGAAAACCTTCAGTATCACCCACCTACTGCCAGTAGCTGCATTTCAAAATGAAAGATAAATTGGAAATAATTGTCCTTGACATCACACTACTTGAAAATTCTTGCTTTCATGGCTTTCATTCTCCCTGTAAAACACGTGTGTATATACATACCTGATATGTCCCCAGTCTACCCCTTCAAAAAATGGATGACTTTTTATTTCTTCTACTCCATTGCTACCAATTCTGTTTTCTGAGTCGATACAAAATCTGAAAAAGGGAAAAAAAAAAAAAAAAGGGAATGTTTTACAGGGAATGTTTTACAATAAATTCGGACAGAAGCAACAGTATCCAGTATCAAAAATTTCAAGGAGTTATTTCAAATTGTTCCACTGCTTGGGGTAACATCAAAGCAGCCCATTGTCCCTAGGAGAGAAGGGAAATAGAGGCAGAACATTGTTAAATCCAGAAACAAAGAGCTATGATAACACCTTTACTAAACTGCTGCTTGGCCATTTTGCAGGTCTGTGAAAAGCTGCTGCATGTTCTGGTTGTGTAAGATCAGTTTGTAATGGAGGCTTAAATCCCTACTACTGACAACTGCTCTGTTCTCAACTATTTAAACATCCCTGTTTCAAAGTAAAACTAAGAAGAATAGATACTTAGTAAATCAGGACTGCTCTCTGATGTCATATTTTGGAATCCCAGTGAGCTAGCCCATTCCAAACATGCCATATCCTTATTCTCCCCCTTCCCCTTCCTCAGAGGTGCAGGTGGTGCAAAGACCCAGGGCCTGTTTCTGATACAGCCCTGCTGCATAACTTCAGCTCAGACCCCACAAAAAACTGCCAGTTTATGAGAAGCAGCCATGAAATAGCAGGAAGGTGAAATCAGAGACAGAGACAGGATAGGTGAGATGGGGACTGTTACCTGCTCCAGCAGGCCAGATAGGAAAAGCCTAAAATCCTAAAGAAGGAAAACAGGGAGGTGTAAGCTCTCTGACAGCAGCTCAGTGACCTCAAGGCTTTGCTCCAGGGAGCAGGAGAGGCTGACCCTTCTCCTCTGGACTGGAAAAGCCTTTCAAGTATCTCATCCAGGAGATGGGAATACCAACATTTGCCTAGGAATTCATGAAATCCCAGCCATCTTCTGCACGTGTAGCAGAGCAGGTTAGGCTATAAACTGTTACCAATTTTAAATTAAAGTTCTTTTGCTTATAGTTGGGTGTCAGTGGGGAAGAAAACCTGCATGTATTTGTATTGCAGCCCAGCAGGCTGGGTGATGCCAAGGACTAACAACAGATCTCAAACTCTGCAACAACTCTCAGCCACAGGATTTGTCAGGCTTTGTCTGAACTTGAGCTTATTTTAGTTGGGATTTATCTATATCCATAACCCTCTAGCTTTATCTTCATCTCCCTTTAAGCTAAAGCACATGTTGCCCAACTTGTCCAAGCTGTAATGGATAAAGTACCCAAAACCATGTGGTGTTGTCCAACTTGTTTTGACCTCATTTTAATAGATCACCTATAACTAAGATGTTTTACCCCGATTTCAACTCTTCTCCTTGTGGAGGCAAACTGATAAATTCAAATACTCATTGTGTAAGTAGATGCATGAGCAAGACATGCTAACAAATACACTGAAATCTCTAAAAATTCCCAAAACACAGCCAGGACTGAGGAGGAAGGAATCCTCAGCAGTAATGCTGTACTCTGTTCAGCAAAGAACTGGAGATGCTGACAAGGAAGGTTGAGCAGAACAGGATAGAAATAGACACTGAAAATGCAATATAACTGTTTTACACAAACTTATTCATGAGGGTTAGCAACAATTCAATCATTTGAGCTGCTAGTATATTACTAGCTGGATACAGGATAACTGTTTCTTGTATTTTATGTTTTTGTAGGTTATTGGAGCATTGCTGGAACTAATAATAAATTCTAGTTTTGTGAAGTACATTCCCCTTTTTGCCTGTAACAATATTGCATAAGGCTATAACAGTAGCTTTGAAAAGGGAAAAAAAGAAAAAAATACCAAACCCAAAACCAATGTACCCCCAAACCCTCGCAGGACAAGAGAGCATTTCTGCCTGACCTTGTCAGCAAAACCCTCACAAAAACCTCAGTGCAAACTAAAAATTGGGACTTTGAAAGAAGTGAGTAAATCCAAAACATCCCATGATTTCTGTTCAATACATTAAATGCTGGTGAGTGGTTATTTTCTTGCCACCTCAGAGAAGAAAAAAATTCTGTGTTGATCACTTTATTTTTGGTCTGCTCTGTTTCTCCTTGTACCATGGTACAAATCAAGGTCATTCCAGCTTATTCTTTCATGTCAAACAAATGGCAAAGGGAAAAAGAATTGAAAAATCCATCAAGGATGGTGACAGAAGAAACCAGCCTTCCCTCCAACATCCAGCTTCATTCACACAGAACAGGAATTTACCCTGATGGAAGATGACCCTGGCTGGGCAAGAGGCCAGAACTGGGTTTTTCTTACTGACCTTAGAATTAAATCCTTTGCTTTCTCTGAAATGGGCACCTCTGGAGGAAATACCAACGTTTCTTTCCAGTTCATAACTTTCCTGTAAGTCTCTTGTGGCGTTTCTGAGCAGAAAGGTGGATACCCTGCACAAACAAATAAAGAATTATTAAACTTTTTCCAGGAGAGAAGTGACCTGGGCCTCTGCCTTTGTCACTGGGGCTCCCAAATTTAACAAATATTAGCCAGAGGTCTTCTCTTCTGAACAAATGGAACCTGTTACCTTAGAACAACTCTTAAGTTGAGGTTTTTAACATACCTATTAGCATTTCATACATAATCACTCCCAAGGACCACCAGTCACACAGCTTGTTGTACCCAGTCTGCATAAACACTTCTGGAGCAATATAGTCTGGGGTTCCCACAGTAGAATATGCCTGGAAAAAAAAAGAATCATCTCTTTAAAAGAGAAATACTGCAGTTTTACACTTGGCAATACCTTTTCCTGAGGATACAGGATCTTGTTGTCTGGGTGAGCAAGAATGCTTAATTTGAGAATTTAATTTGAGAATTCACAGGAACTAAAATCCCAAGAATATTATTCATATTAATAAACACAGAGAACCTCAAAAATAAATGGAAATAATCCTCTTTAATGTGATGAAATCATAAAATATTGCAACTGCAGTATCAGAAGGTCATCTTAGCTAAAGTTTCTGGTAGCTGCATTGCAAAAATACCCAAGAAGTTCTATTGTTGTGGTCTTTGTTTATTTTTAAAGGCATAACCAGTGGTAAATTCCCAGGTGTGACACTCATGATACACAAACTGTGTATTGAGAATTTCTCTTTACTGATGAAAAAACTTCCATTGGGCAGAAGGGAGAGAAAAAAAACAAAATCCAACAAAAAAAACCCTCAAAGACCAAAAAATCCCCCAAAAGCAGTTTTGCCACAAAAACATGTTATTTTCCTCTGTCTCAATAAAATAAACACTTTGATTGAATAGACCTGAGAGATTTAGGATTGAAACAATGGAAAACCAAAAACGTGACTCCTTCTCCAACAGTGTTGATGCAGGTTGTCATTTTGGCCTTTTATTGTCTCTGTGGGACTGGTCTTCAGCACACACTTCTGCCACATCAGCCTTTACTGGACTTGAGATAAAGTCTTTTCAGGGATCTAATTCCAGGCTGGAATAAGGGTGTGAAATGCAGCCCCATGGGGCAGCGTGGTGGCTGCAATGTAATCTCATTCTGTCCCATAAGGAAAGAAGAGAACACCCTCAATCTGTATGGGAATACTGCAGTAGATCACTTTTTTAAAAGGGTGTGGAAAAATAAAAGGTTGCAAAATTTGACAGCTGAGATTTTTTTGGTGAAAATCATGGGCAGGGATGGAAGTCTGAAATCCCATGGCTAACAGACACTTTGCTTTGGTTCAGTTTATGCCACAAGTCCCCCTGTTATGTGACCACTCCAGCACCAACACCCTCCCACAGCCTTTCCATCACATTCCCATTCAGCAGGATGGGAATTCCCCACATTTCTCTGAAAAGGAATCCTGCAGCCACACATCTGCTGGGGACTGAGCTGGAATCAGAGGCAGGAGCCCACACAGGTCCATGTGCTCCAGACACAGCCTGGCCATGGGCTGAGGACACCTGAGGGCTTGGGCCAGATACTCATGAAGGAAAACAAAGGCATAGACAAGAGCAGGGTCTTGCTATTCCAACCTGGACCCCTTCTTTTGAGTTGTGATTTTGGGAGCTTGTAGAGCCACATATAAGGGCCTTGCAGGTTTTAAAAACCACAAGCATTAGCACTGAGTTCTAATTCAACACTTTCTGTAAATAGTTTAAAGGCAAAACAAGAATTATACATTATTTAATTAACTCACCAGCTGTCGCCTGTTCTTCTTCCATGTTTCTGCTTTCCTCTTTGAGTTCATATTCTGAAATGCTAATTTACAAAGTAGTTATTAAATAACAAATGTATTTGTGAGAATTAAGAAAAAAGATTTATAGGGCTCCAGTTTCAAATAACTATTTTGTACATTTAGAATCCTTTAGTCTAGAAACAAATACTTGATTATAACTGGAAATGGGAATATGAGAATAACTACTGTCCAATGCACAGCTGAAAATCATCTAAGTAGGACACATATCAGCAATTCTAAATTAGAACCTGCTAAAATTTTTAGATCAGCTTCTGGAAAGTTTCCTGAGACTGTCACTGAATTCAGTCCTTTGGCACATGGAGCCCATGTCCCTCCTGAAAGAGCAGTTCTATAACTTCACTAACATTATGAAAAATACATTAAAATATAGATACATTACATTAAGTATATTCACATCTGTGTTTGAATGTGCAAAAATACATGCCTACTGCAGAAATCATCATTTCTTGCCAGTGAAATTCTCCCATGACCCAGAGAACAAGCATTTCCAGTTTTCCAATTAAATGCAATCAGCCTGTCCCATCTTGCTTATCCCAGCAGAAACAAAGGTACAATGTACAGCTGCAGCTCAAAACCATTTACATGTTAAACTAGGACAGCTCATACTCACAGAAGTCACTTGGTGGGTTGTGTGTGAGGTTCCTGTAGAACTCTGTTCTGTGGGCTTTCTTTAAACCTGTGCAGAGCCCAAAATCTGACAACTTTACATGACCCTAAAAAAATAATCAGAGAACATTAAATCATTATTTAGATAGGTAGTGCTTGGGGAAAAAAAAAGTGTTTTCAATCACTGCACATCTCTCAGGCCATGATGGACTGGCACAGGACAAGCGGGGAAGCAAAGATTGAACCTTGGTATATTGGAAGGGTCTGTTTTCTCTCCAACATGCTATGGCCTCACACCGATGGTTATATCTATAATTTCCCAACAGCTGAGGGCAGATACTTTGCCTGGTTTTGTTTTGAACTGGATACCACTGTGACTGGGAAAGCCTCCAGGACAAAATTCCTTTGCTTTGTTGATGGTAACCTTGGCTTTAATCAGGTTTCCAGATATCAGTGCAGATAGAACCCATCAAACCTGACAGACCTGTGCATGCTGTGATAATGCCTGGCCTCCATGATCTTAAAGATCTTTTCCAGCCTATATAATTCCATGATTTGGTGATGCTTACTGGGTGCATTTCACGGCCAGAATGGTCAGTCTGAGGGAGTTTCCACAGGTGAGTGGGTGATGAAATAAATATAACTGTAGGAATTGAACATTCAGCATTGTCTGAATTGTCCATAGCTACTTCAAGATGCATGAATGGAAGGGTACCACCTTTTAATGTGTATGAAAATCAGCATCTGGTCACCGTGTATGCTTGTTATCCCTTAAAAGCCTTGCCTTAAAATGATTAAAAGGCTTCTGAGCAAGATTTGGCTTTGTTTAAACATAGTGGTGTTCTCCAAGGAAAATACCACGGCCGTTCCCTGCTTCCCTCCAGCCAGTTTAAATCTCTGGGGTGGCACCAGAGGCTCCCACTGCTCAGCAGCAGGATGTGCAGCCTGGCATCTTGGAAGCACCAGCACTTGGTGAGCCCAGTACATGCCTTGGCATCCAGCAGGAGATTGTCTGGCTTGATGTCCCTGTGGATAAATCCCAGCTGGTGAATGGCATCGATGGCCAACACAGTCTCAGAAATGTAAAACTGGGTCTCCTCCTCTGATAAAGTGTCCTTCTTCATTAGTAAGGTCATCATGTCACCTCATCAAAGAGAAGAAAATACAGCTTAGGGATCAGAACATTTTAAATCACAAAGCTATAAGAAACCCCAGTAGAATCCAAATTTAACCTTGTAACTGGCCTTACAATTACTAATCATAAAACTATTACTGCAAGGACCTACAAACCCAACTCACTTTTCTAGTTAAAAATCCTAAACAGGAATTTTAATTGAATGGTCCGGGAAAACAGAATGGATTTTTACACACATTAAATTTATTACACAAACTGTTTCAATAAGGGCTTTTCTTCTCTTTTGTTTTTACTGTTAACAGCTTCAGTCGTAAAAAGTAGAAATTTCTATTAGAATAATTATTTAATTCAAGTCTATTTAATGCCCCTTCAACCTTCTTCCTTCCCCTAAAACTCAGGAAGGGTCACACGACTGGGACTTCATTTAAAGGAGTGTTAACACTTTTATTTTCACAAATTATACAGCATGCTTGTTTCTAATATTTTATAAAGCTGCCAACAAAAGCTAAGGAAGAAGTACCTGTATCACCTGATGCCACAGCACCCAGCTTACCTCCAGGTAAAAACTCCATGATCAGGTAAAGGTTCCTTTTATCCTGGAAGCTGTAGAACATTTTCACTACCCAGGCTCCATCCGCTTCAACCAAAATATCTCTTTCTGCTCTGATATGGGCCACCTAAAATGTTTTAGAAATTATTAAGGGGCAAGTATTGAAATATTTCAACAAGGAACATCACTTTACACTCCTAGCCCTACAGCATATTTTCATGACCTTTATCAAAGGAACTATTTTTCTAGCTCTTTCCACACTCATTTTCCATTATTTTTACAAGATCCTACAGTTTCTCTAGAAATACAAAGCACAGCTTGTTAAGCTGGTTCTGTTTGTTAGAAAGAACTGACAAAGCTGGTGGGAAAAGTGCAAGTGAGTTCAGAAATATCTGACCTTGCTCAGGATAATCCAGTTCCAGCTAAGGCTTTGGAAAATATATGGAAAGCTACTAGCCCATAATTGCTGGAAATGAAGAATAATGGAGATTGAAGAAGGTGTGTATTTTCACTACAATGTATCCTCATCCTGGAGGAAAAATTAAAGACATATGCATGGAAAAATATTTCTTGGAAGCTGTAAGAAAAGCAGCAAACACTCTTCTGCATCAGTTCCTCAGTTCTACTGGTGAGGAACATCTTTACATGAATCTTGTCACAGGGTTGCTCGGGGCAAAGGCTCTCCCACTGCAGGAGACACTTCAACCTGGATTTATCTAGCTTTATTTTTAGTCTCATTAGAAAGTATTTTTTCCACCCTCCACTCCTCAGTGCAGCTCTAAAATACAATAGAAAAAATTTGCTTTAAAAGAGACAGGATTTCTCCCAGATTTTTACCAGGCTTGGAAAAAAAAAAAAAATACTAGAAGATGTGGTTTTTTTATGTGTGTCCTCTGTTGCTCTCCATGGAACAAGCCAGGCAATGGCAATTCCAGCAGATAAACACTCTCCAGGGAAGATCACTGTCCAAAACTGAATGTAGAGTGTGAGCTCAGACTCCTTCCCACATCAGGTTCTGAAATGGGGGCAGCACCACACAAATCCTGGCTGCTCTGCACACCCTGCTGCTCCTCTGGTTCCCTAAATTCAGGGCATGGGCTGCAGAAGACAAAATAATCTGTGCCAGGGGAAAAAAAAAATGTATCACTACTGCAGGGAAATGCTGTGCAAATGATGGGTAAGGTCTGGACTAGTATGAAAAAAGTCCTCGTATCTCTTGAGACACCCACCCTTGATTTCTTTGCTTTGTCATGCTAAAGTACTTGCTGCGTCCTCACAGTGAATTGTTAGCTACAAAGTAAAAGCAAAAACCTAACCAAACTAACAAAATCAAAGCAAATAAACCCCCAAAAATATTAACTATAAAGCAAACCCAAGGAAGACAAAGCTGACGAAACAATGTGATTTCTGCTGGTTTTCTTTAAAAGAAAACATCAAATACCTCCATTTTTACTTTGGCACGGGATTATTTTTCCAGAAGTACTTTCCTTGAAATGCAGTTTTACATACTCAATACTATAAGCTCCGTGTTGATAACAGGAGAAAAATAAAATCTTTGTCACTACTCCAAATTGGCTGTAAATAAAGTATTTTTTAAATGCAGTTTCCATGACCTTAGTTCCTAACTTCTGCTGCTTTTGTGCTATGGTAGCAACACCACACACCCTTTGGACTGCCAGACCATTGCAGGTGCTTTCAAAGGTGGAAAACACATTCTAGACAGGGTAAGTTTGAAATTTAGGGGACTTATAGATCACAAACCTGCTCCTTCTCCAGCATATCTGCTTTTCTCAGTATCTTCATTGCATAAATGTGACCTGTATCCTTCTTCTGAACGAGGCGGACCTTTACCAAGAGAGAGCACCCAGTCAGTCTTCCCTGCCTCAGAAACCCAATGCAAGGCTCCCAGTTGCCAGACATGGAGAAGTTATCTTCTTAAATACTTAAAAACACATTTAAATACATTAAATATTGAAAAAGGAATTATTCTGCACCATGTACAACACTAACACTAGTGAGGAATTATTTTTGTTTTTTGGAAAGCCAGCAGGCACAGTGAATTCCAGGAGTGTGTAGGTTAAAATCCTGTTAAAATCCTCCTGTAGGAGGAGAAATAACTGAAGTGACACAGGACAGAAAACAGGTTTATCAAGAGGAGTTGTGCTACTACAAATCCATAATTTCAGAGGGTAATGTGGGCAACATCAGTGTGGGAAGCCATGGGAAACTAAGTGTCTTTCCAGAAGCCTTGGGAAATCAACGCAAGAGATTAATCACTTCTCACTTGGAGAACGGCACAAATAGCTGCCATTCTGCAATAAAAATTCATTAAATTGCAATTAGAATGTTTCATTACAGTGGTCAATCCCATTTTAATCTCCTGTTCAAGCAAGAATGCCACAAACCTCCCCAAATGCTCCTCTTCCTATGACTTTCAAGGACTCGAAGTCATCCAAGCCGAGCCTGGTCCTCTTGAGCCGCAGGAACTCCGTTTCCTTGCGAGCGTGCTGTGACCTGCGCAGCTTTTTCTGAGGACACAGGCACAGCACTCTGTCAGTCATCTGCCAGCACAGGGTCAAGATATGCACCTTCCCTTCCTGGGAAGTTGTTCTCTGGAATCCCAACAGGAGAAAGACTTCTCCTTCTACATTTGTTTCTGAATTTCTCCAAGTATGATCCTGGAGTATGGTCTTTTCTAGAGAAGCCTCAGGCACAGTGTCACTTTTTTTGGTGGATGGTGATATTTTATTTTTGTTAGTTAGTTATTTAAAAAAAAAAAAAAAAGAAGAAAAACTACCACACTGGTCCAAACAAAGTGTATCAGTCCCCCTGAGGCAAGGACTTGTCATTTTGGGCATTGTTAAAGATCAATAAAAGCTGAAACTTGTACCCCACCAAAAAGAGTGATGACAGGCAACAAAGAGCTTAGCAAGCAGCAGAGGTCCTGGTTACAGATCTACAACAAAATCCATTTGGTTTATGGCAGGCAAGCACTCAATTCTCAAAGAAAAATCTGTCCAAATTCCATCATCTATTTTTTCTGATGAAAATGTCACTAGGATTCACCCCAAGAGAAGACAAATGCTGCTCCCAAAGATGCTGAGATCTCAGAAACTGTTAAGGAGGTCCCCGGATCAAGCACCTGCCAGACTGTGCTGAGATTACAGCATCTTTTAAAGCCACAAGATGGCAATACACACCCACACTTATTTTCCCACTTCTCAGGCGTTACAGCAGCCACAAAAACTCCAAAATTACTGAGACACTCTTCCCACTTATTTATCAGCCTATTCTGAAGGCAGACATGGTATAATGGACCTCAAAAAAGCAACTTATTGACCAAAGTTCTAAGAGGTGGCAACCAGACTCAGATCCCTCCTCATCTGTATCCAAAAGCAGCAACGGTATGATGGTTTAAATCAAGAAAAAACTGTTCAGCATTTTGCTTTCTACCCACTGACCACTTTCTTTTTCTTGCCAAATACAACAGCAAACAATTTTAATCTTTGAAAAGCTTGCTAGATACTTGCTGTGGCCATGTCGCATAAGAACTACACGTAGCATGAAAAGCCTTGGATAGCTATTGCAAGTATCAGTCAAGCACATTCCCAGCTTCCCTAATAAACAAGTTATTAACAGGGGCAACATGCATGTACAAAATAAAACCATCTGTCATGCTGGCTGATGCTTCTGTGAGCTCTTCAAATGCCCATTTGAAGCAGTGGGACAAAAGCAAAGCAGTTTGTAAAGTTACTTAAGCAGCATTTACCTCCTCATCTGCAAGGCCTTCCTCTTCCATAGCCACTTCCAGCTTCTTCTGCCTGCCAAGGAGAGAAACAGGGGATTGCACCTTTTATTATTTATTAAAACCAAACATAACACCACAGCAAGTCAACATCTTTGCTTCATATACTCCAAGTACTGAAGAATTTGCCTCAAATGGAAAATTGAAGGCAAACAGTCCCACTCCACCCAGTTACTCATTTGTGTACAAAGCTGAGGAAAACGTAGAAGCAAACTTAAGCACGTGCTTATGTACTTGCAGAATCAGGCATTAAATATATATGAAAAAGTATGTCATTAGAGTGATTATGTCTTGTTGAATTACAGTTGTTTTTATCAATTAGGATTACAAACCAGAATAAAAATGGGGTTTTTCACCGTTTCTATCTCAGCTCCAGCTTCCATCCCCTCTGTGTGACCACCTCCCCTGGTCACACACCTGGTCCTGCCCCACTTCCTCCCATGCCAACTGAACTCTACTCCCTGGATGCACCATCCTCTCCCTCTCAGTGTCCTTCCCAGGCCAGGGCTCACTGTTCCAACTCTTCCACCAGTGCCATGCCAGGCTGGGAGGCTCTGAGTGGGGAGCAAAGCCTGGGAATACCCCACAAGTGGCAGGGGGTCAGCACTTGGCAATGTGTCTGCAGGACCCCTTCCTGTCCACGCACAGGATGCTCCTTTATAGCTGCCAGGGTGCAGCTTTCTGAAGGCTGGTTACCCCCTGCAGCAGGGAAGAATTCAAAGGCTTGGAGCCAGGCTGCTGGTGCCTTTCTGCACTTTGGGAAGTACAGTGGGATCCTTTAAATTGCAGGCCCTTGATAGACAGTCTGTTCTCCTAACTAGAAGCAACTCCATTACATGGAATAATGACTAAATATGATGAAGAGAGAAACCCTGCTGCTTGACTGAAAACCCTTCAATTAAAAACATATTACCAGGAGGATGATAATTTCACACACTAATGACAATCCAACACAACATTCATTATGATCAAACACTTGGTGCTTTGACACTTAATTCAAGTGGCACTTCACCACCTCACAGACAGGACTGGACACTGCTGGGAGAAGCTGAGTGGTGATGACCAACCCATACTCCTGGAGTACCAGGCAGCACCACCCAAGCAGATGGGGATTACATTATCCCCAAAAGTCTTCCTGCCCACCTGAGAGCCTCTCAAACCCTCCATCATCAACCCCTTATTTCTTTGCTGTCCTTTATTTCCACGCCAGCTCTTTGCCTCCTTTCTTTACTCCATCAAACACCTCTCAATCCTGTTCTCTATCTCCTATGCACTCCCTCCTGCAGGGTTTGGGAGTCTTGGAATGAACTCCATGGTGCAGAGCAGGAAAAGACACCACAAGCCACTGCCTTACCCCAAACCAAGCTCCCATCTCTCAGCAGCTGTGCAGAGCTCATTCCCTGGGGCACATGCAGAAGAATCAGAGATCACCAACCTCACAGTCTGCAAAATAACACCCTGCACAGAGGAGTTCCCACAAAGTAACTGATGAGGAGGTAAACTGCATGAAAACACCAAAAGTGGAGCTCCTTGATCACTCAGTGACTGGCATGTTCACAGGTTCCCCCAAAGACAGCCTCTGCCCTCTAGGCATTCACTCCCTGCCACCACATACAGAAAAACTTCCCAGAGCCCTCCCATCCCTGGGGATTGAAATGCCCTTGAACAAACAGCAAGAAAAGCTGCAGAGGGGTGAGAAGAAGCAGAGGCAGCACCTGGTTTCCCTCTCCTCGTGCTGTATAATGAGGTTGCTGTAGAAGTTCTCCAGCGTGAGTTTGGCCACCGTCACTCTCTCCCGGGTGTGGTTACTCATGGGAAAGGATGTTGTAGTCCCTGCAGTCATCGCCATGGTAACATGTACTGGAACAGAGCAGGTCAAATCATTACTCACTTCAAAAAGAAAATTAAAGATATATATATTCTATATATATTCCCCTTTCCAACTCTCCATCTCCAAATTCTGAGGCACTCCAGAATTCACAGTAAAGGCATTGTTCTTTAGATATAAGAAACTCTATTAAAAGCTGCCTTATAAAATTATCCCAAGATAGCAGGAGGATGTGCTACCCAGTCTCTAAAAAATAACAACATGTTGGCAAAACAAAGAGTGAATCATAGCAAAGAGCACGTCGGGCAGCTCACCCAGCTGTGCTTGTCCACAAATAAGGAAAATGTCCCACTGGCAGACCTGGGCCCAGCCTGGGGGAGGGAAAAGGCAAAGGGGAAGGAGAGAGAAGGATCAAGCACCTCCCAGAGCTGGACTTGTCACAACTCTGTGACAATTTCAGACTCCAAAAATTCCAGATGCTAAAAAAAACGACGGGATAAAACGAGACAGCAAATGGACCAATCCCTTAACCCCAGGCCAGAGGAGAAATTATTTCAAGGGTAGAGATAACCATCAAGAATATTTGAATTTTAAAGGTGTTCCACAAAGCTACACGTGGACAAGTAGTACTTATGGCTTAGGACACATGGTCACTGGGCACCTAAAAACTGGGAAGAACCAGAAAGAAAGGAGAAAATCTGCTCTCCTTGAGAGCTTTCATCCTGAACCCAAAGAACTTGGATGTACTGGAACAACACTTTTTAATGCTGGAAAAAGACATCTCAGGGCAGCTCTGAATGTCCTGCAGCTAATCCAGGAAAATCAGGGGAGATGAAAAAAAAACCAAAAAACCAGCACAGTTTGTTCTAAGATTCATGCCCGACCTGGAAGTGGGTTGATGCACTTTAGGGGAGCCTCATGGAAGAAAAGCATGAAAAGCAACATCTCAGCCCCACTCTCATTTGGTCAGGTTGATTTGAGGTTAGTTTTGGAAAATGACACAGAAGTACACATCACAGAACCATGGGATGGCCTGGATTGGAAGGGACCTCACATACCTTGTTCTCCGCTCTCTTGCTATGGGCAGGGATACCTGCCACTATCCCAGCTTGCCCAGAGCCCCTTCTGGCCTTGAGCACTTCCAGTGATGGAACAGCCAGAGTTTCTCTGAGCAACCTGTGCCAGGGCCTCAGCACCCTCAGAATAAAGAATTCTTTCCTCATACCAAACCAACCCTGCTCTCTGTCAGTGTGAAGCCATTCCCCCTTGTCCTGTCACTGCAGGCCCTTGTCAAGAGTGTCTCTCTCCATCTTTCCTGTAGTCTCCCTTCAGGCACTGGGCCTCCTTTTTATTATTTATTTAATCCTTCCAATTCACCAGAGGATTGTGCAGAAGACAAATCCCGAATTAGGCTTAATTTAAGCAGATCCTAATGGCTTTTAAGGTGAGCTGATTAGGGGTTTCATACAGAAGAAAACTCGCACGTCCCCACTGGAGTAGGAGGATGGCTGAACTCTGCTCCAGGCTCTGTGCTTTCATTCTGCCTGCTGCACTCTGAGAGGGTGGGATTTTATCCTGTGGATTTTTCATAGGATCTGATGTGACAATAGGATATTTGTTGCCAGAAACGCAGCTGCTGTGTCACAAATAAAGGCGTTTTATAGTATCACGTAGATATTATTTTAGCTGGTTATTTTGAAGTGCACAAGACACCAGAATTCTGAGAATAAAAATATATCTCTCCATAAAAGCACAAAGAGGTTTTAATAGCATCACAGCTGCTTCAAAGTGATGCCAGTATTTCTATTTTTTAATCAATCTTTTATCCCCTTCAGTTTTCTACCAAAGAAAGATGAGATCTATCAATTCCTAGTAGTGTTTACTAAAAATTAGGCTGTTCTATTCTTCACACAGAGACATCCCCCACGCTGGACATGTCTCCAAAACCTGGGAGAACTTGTGAGCACTTGTCTCACTGTTGTGTTTATTGTACAATTTTACCCTTTTTCCCTCAATAGGTGGGAAAAGATAAATAAAAAAAATTGATAAGAGCAAATCAAACAGAGCAACTGCTGACCACACACAGAGGCATCTGTGATTAAGTTATTTCAAGAAATGACCTAACAGAGCAAAAACCTGCCTTCTGATAATTTTGGAACAGGAGGATAGAGCAGCATTAACCCAGGCTTGAAATGGATTAACCTTTACTTAAGGTATAGCAAGCACACTCATACCGGATATTTCTCCTTTGCACGTCTTGTATTCCTTGTATGATAAAACAACACTGCAACTTGATTTCCTGTTCATTTGTTTACCCCATGCTCTACACTCACAAATGCAGGCACTGCCAGACAGCAAATCCAAGTCACTGGGCTTTATTAAACTTGTAAAAAGGAGATCCCAGTTCCAGCACTGGCACCCCGGGGCTGACCCTCTTGTGCTTCACAGGAGGGAAATACAGATGAGTGTCCCCAGTTAGCTCTGCCACTGTGGGGAAAACACCAAGCAAAACCACCACAATGAAAATATTTGTAAAACCAAGAGATGCCTTAAGCTCTCCCGAGTCCCCAAAGTAAACAAAAAATAGCACAGACCTGGCAGGAGGCACGAGATATCCCACAAAATCCTATGTAAGCTCACAGCTGAGAGAGCCTCTTCAGCTTTTTTCCTCCTGTGTCTCTGCTTCCACTAACAAGCCCTCAAACACAGCACAAATGCACATCCCAGAAAAATATTCAGCTGGGAGTCACCAAGTACAGTCCTTAAGCATGACCTTTAAAAACAAATGATGCAGAGGGATGGGGGTGGGAAGGAAGGAGCTCCAAAATAGGACCTTTTATTGACAGCACACTACTTGTACTGACCTCACCACATTAACGGGAATGCTTTGAAAAGGTGCCACCCATAATTCTTGGAAATGCCCTCACAAGCCTACTAGTTCACCCAAATTCATGCCACTTCCATAATGGAACCATTCCACTCTTGCTGCATCACTGGAATTACTTTAGGCTCCCTGGACCATGAAGAAAGTCATATTCAACCAGCCGGCCACATTTAGCCAGAACTCCTCTGGCTGACAGGGATTGTTCTGAAGGGCTGGAACATCCCCAAGTGCGAGGAAGAAAGACATCAAAAGGATGTAATGGACAGGAGCCATTGAGCCTGCAGGACCAGGGCTCGGAGCTGCCAGGAGCAGGGATGCCATATGTGCTCCTGGCCCGGGAAATGAGCCTGTGCCTCCCGCAAGGATGGCTGGAATCCCAGCCTGAGCTGTCCCGGTGCCTGCTCGGCACCTGCAGCACGGGGATAAGGAGTTATGCATGTGCAGCAGCCGGGGAAAATCCTGCCACCAGAGGCAGGAAGGAGAACAGCACAGAGGGGAGGGGAGGGGAGGAGGGGTGTTCCCGAAGGATTAGGGAAAGCAGAGAACAGCAGCCAAATGCTACTGAACTGGAGTTTTCAAAAGATGTCTCCAAGCAAGTCTCTCCTGATCCATCACTGAACAGCACATGTCAATTGTAAGGGTCCTCTCCCTCCTGGCGGAAAAATGTTGCCTAGACAAAGCATACATTTGACCTTTTTGTTCCTAGATCTTTCCTGATTGGGAAGCAGAGAAAGGCCAAGCAGCACTGACTACAACTTCAATCTGCACTCCCATTTGTCACAACAGCTCCAAATCAAACTCTGCATCTGTTTGCCTGGAGTTTTCACCATTTAAACCCTCACACCGAGATTCTGCTACACCACTGGGAACTCTAAACCCCACATCCTCTCTGGGGCACCTCTCGGCAGCTCCCACAGCCTGTCATTCATGTTTTCATTAAACTATTGGATTAAGTCTCCTGTTAATGAGTGCAAAAATCACTGAGGCATCCAATCCCACCTGCTGCAGGAGCTCTGAAGAAGAGAGATGGAAGAAATCAAAGCAAATGGAGAACTGCTCTGCCCTGAAACACAGCACTTTGTGGGATCATTTTCTAATCAGGAAGGGATAAGAGATGGAATCCAAGTCTCCTGCACAGCTGTGCCAGTAAGAAAAGCCACAGGATATATCAGGCTGGATTTATACTGTCAAACTAATCTGAACCTAAGTCACACAATAGTAACATCATCTTGTTTTTTGAAGCCACGTGTGTAGTACAGTAATACAGTAGCCCTAAAATAAATTTACTCAGGACCCAGTGAGTATTTAAGTTAGGGAGCAAACCCTAACCAATTCTTCCAGAGAGAAAAACACTTTTTTCCACATGACAGAAGGATGCTGCCAGGTGTCTGATTTGGATTTACAATGTCAAGCTACACACGTTCGGTAGGACAGGGAAGAGCAATCCTCCCTCCAAAATGACATCAATTCACAAAAAGACTGATAATAATTTTAATTTATCCACCCCTAAAGCCCAGCAGTTAGGAAGGCAGTTTGCTATTACAGTAAAAACTTCCAAGTTGATGAAGTTCCCATTTAACATTCCAAGAGAATTTGCCTCTTGAATCAAAGCCTCTGGATAAGGCAGATACTGAAACATAGTTTTGCCTTTCAAAATTTCCATTGTTTCAGCATGACATTGAACCTGCTCCTGAAATGAAGTATACAAATGGCATTTTTCAAGAATTAGGAAGTAAAATAGAAAGGAGAGAGGAAGCAAACACACAGAGCACAATAAAGTGGGTACCTTCAGAAATTCCAGCTGTCACCACCGTGCCCAGAGCCGGGGCTCTCCTGGGTGAGAAGCGAGAACAGACTCTGGCTCCTTCCAGACACAGCCCAGTAACTCACCAAGCTGGGCAGTAAAAGCCACGGCTGACAAGGATTGTATTAAAAAATGACAAGGATTATATTTTAAAAATGAGTTGCCATCTAGGAAAGCAGCACAGACACAGCAAAGCTTCAAGCACAAGCGCCAACCCCGCAGTCTCCAAATTGTTTGAATTCTCCTGAAGAGAGACAGGATATATATAAAACTAAAAAAAAACCAACCCACCATACACAAATAACAGCATGATTCACACCAAGGGGCAGTGGGCAGGGCCAGACAAATAAAAAAACAGCCCAAGGCTCAGCAGGATGATGTGGTGGGACATACACTGAGCAGCTTCAGAGACGTGCAGCCATACGTGGGGTGAGCAAACAGAGAGCAGAAATAAAAATGCTGTACAACAGCTGATAGTTCCAGTGAGGGAACAGAAGGAGAAAGTACCACCAGCCCAGAGGGAAAATGACTTTCTGCACTACAGCTTCTGCTAGTACAGGTTTGGCAACTGTGTTGTGCATATTTTCACCATCCAATTGTTTATGCTGAGCCTCCTTCTGTTGAGGATCACAGAATGGCCTGGGCTGGAAGAGACCTTAAAGATCATCTAGGTCCAACCCCCTGCCATGGCCAGGGACACCTGCCACTATCCCAGCTTGCTCAGAGCCCCATCCAACCTTGAACACTGCCAGGCATGGGGCAGCCACAGCAGCTCTAGAAAACTTGTGCCAGGCCTCCCTCATAGGGAACAGTTTCTTCCTCATATCCAATCTAAACCTCCTCTCTATGAGTGTGAAGCCATTCCCCCTTGTCCTGTCACTCCAGGCCCTTGTCAAGAGTCTCTCTCCATCTTTCCTGTGGCTCCCTTCAGGCACTGGAAGGCCACAGTGAGGTCACCCCAAAGCCTTCTCCTCTCCAGGCTGAACAATCCCAGTTCCCTGAGCCTTTCCTCCCAGCAGAGCTGCTCCATCCCTCTGATCCCTTGGTGTCCCTGCTCTGTCGTGGCTCCAGCAGCTCCCTGTCCTTGCTGTGCTGGCCCAGGGCTGGGTGCAGCCCTGCAGGGGGGTCTCAGCAGAGCGGGGCAGAGGGGCAGAATCCCCCCTCCCCTGCTGCCCTGGGGCTCTGGGTGCAGCCCAGCACAGGGGGGTTCTGTCTTCCTTCTTTTATAACTCACTTTAAATCCAATTCCAAAGCTTTTGATTAACCTCCAGACACACCCAAAACTCGACAGTCCCTGAAGTCTCCAAGCAGCAAGCTGACAAGAAAACCCCATTAGTCCCTTCTATGTCAATCATGGGCCAGTATTTTTCAAAACTTTTCGGGTATGATCTTAGTATTTGTGTTCTTTCTACATATAGATTTCTGTACTTAAAACCAAAGCTTGTCCAAAGTTCACTCCTGTCAACAAAAAAACCCCTTCAGCTCAATAGGTTTTGACCTAATAGTCCCATTCCAGCCTCAGGATGATGCTAGCTGCTGTTACCGAGGTTCATAATTATCAGATCAGCACGTTTGCCAAGCAGTGCTCTGGGGTATGTTTCAGACAGAAAAATAAATATTTTGTTGCTCCATAATTCATTCTTTCAGGAATATCACCATTCACAAGTCCCTACTTTATTTAATCTGCTACCTAAAGGAAGCAACATTCCCAGCCAGATAAAACAAATCAGATATTTCACGTGCAGATTCTTCTTCAATATTATTGCCATGACCAGATCCTTCTGACACCCCTCAGTTTTTACAACAGTCTCCCTTTGGGAAGAGAAACAAAATAAGACTGCAACATGGCATCACTGACACTTCAGAATTTCATTTACCTTGTTTACTTACTTCATCTCCTTTAGCTTTCCTTCTACAATGTGCATTATGGCTGAGTAAATTTTGTTACTTGAAAGTTACAGAATTAATTATATTTGTTCTATTTAAAGCACCACTAAGAAACTGAGTAAAATTAGCCCCATTGGAACGGGCTTTGCTATTTTAAAAGCCAAAGATGTTCAAATGTTTTAGCCATTTTCAGTCATTCTTCCCCCATGGGGCATCTGGGTGAGGCATCTGTTATAGTCCCAGCTAAAAGCAGAAAGTGCTCCATGACTCCTGAACCAAAAGGAGTGGACACTCCCAGTGCCTGTCCCCAGGGCTGTGAGAAAACCCTGGGGAGGCACTGCCAAGCACACAGGACTCGGGATGCAGACACTGCACGAGTCCTGCAGCCACCATGTTGATGGCAACGATGATGATGATGATACCAGGAAAACCCAGGGGACACTGAGACCCAGAGAGCATTTTGGGGTGTCAGCAGCCAGCTCCAATAGGCTCCCTAAACCCCAGAAGACCTTAATGCACCCCAAAAAGATGTTTTCAAGATGAGGGAAGGTACTTTCCTGCCTCGAGGTAGATTCCTAAACCTAAAAACATCCCAAAATAGCAGTGTGGGGCTCTGATTAGAGCAGGCAAAAAGTCCCTCTGCCAAACAGCAGGAACCCCTGCCAGGCCAGGCCAGGGCTGTGTGTGTGCTGTAAGCTGGCACGAGCCAGGACAGTCTCCAAAAGGAGCCATCCCATTTTCCATCCAACCATCTGTTTGTTTCCCTCCCGCTGCCGCTCCCTGCTTTGTGCCAGCACAAGAAGCTGCATGACCCAAACTGAGGAACCATTATGAGACTCGAATAAATTCTTTTTAAAATAGCTTGGGTGAGGCTGGTTTCACCTGCAGGGATTGACAAGGGCCACCTGCCCCAGGCTGAGCCCGCTTGGTCCTTCCCACGGAGTCAGTCCAAAAGTGGGAAATAAGCGGGCAAGGCCTCCTCATCTTTTAATTTGGGTCACAGAAATTAATCTTGGAAATCATTCCAACACACCCACAGTAATGATAAGGAAATATTTCCTAATATGGAATAAAAACTGAATATTGGAGTTGTGCTGCACTCCAGGATTTCCTGCTATTCAACACAGCTGAGCAGCAGAAGCCTCCCATGAACAGCGGCCGAGATTTTGCTCTCTGCTGCTTTTGACAAGCAGCAAGCACAAATTCACTTCCCTGACAGAAAAAGGTACAGCCTGAAACTAAGTATGGGTATACAGGGGAATATATGCATAAACTAAACCTATCTACACCTATGTAAGATCCATAAACTATGTTTATTTCCCTTGAGAGGTGAACTTTTGTCCATTTCAAGTAGCAAAGAAACTCTTGATCCAAACATCATAACCTTGGCTTTCACAAACAATGGGAGACTGGCCATCTAAAGTTTAGAAAAGCAAATCCACTAATAAGGTCACTTCCATCTCAGCTCCACTTGCCTCAGCCTTTGGTGATACAAATACATTCTTTAAGCTCTACTAGCTTAAAGAGTCAATAGCTCTGTCCCAAAGTGAGGAGCACATTGAGACATTCTGTTCTTAAAACACTCACTCAGCACTGAAGGACACGCAATGACTTACCAAAATCTTCCTGAGCTCACTTCTTTCAAATAACTCATTTTATTTTCTTTACTTCTTAAGACAATCCAGCCATTGGGGTTTAGCAGTGCTAAACTGAGTTTAGCCTCAGTGTGCCCATGTGTGTGACTGTGGGCAGGACTCCCCCACCCACCCCAACCTCAGGGACAGAGGGGACACACAGGGGTTGTACCTCTGCTCCACCAGCAAGGATGGAGGGCTAGAGCCAGAACAGGAAGCAAACAGAGGTGCTGGTGTCTCCACACACTGCTGTCTTCCAAGGAGTGCTCCAAGTGGGAGGTCAGCTCAGGACAACACTCTGCATGACTAAATGAAGCATGAGACATGATGAGGGAACCAGACCTGCAGTCCCAAGCAGCCACTCCTTTCTTTCAGTGTTTACCACTGAGTGCATTTTAATTTCCTGGGGACAAGAGAAATCAGTAGCTCGCTGGAAAGCCAACAGTGCTGTGCAGTGAAATAGCATTCATAGCTTGCTTCACCCTCACTTGTATCTGTCCTTTCTCCTGGCTCTCCCCACGTTTCACAGTGCTGCAAATCTCTGCTCTCTCAGAAGTGTCTGAAAACAGGAAGCTCTTTATTTACTGGAGTAATTGCATTCCTGTGCACTTAAGCATTTTCACAGCTTTTAGCAGGTACTTGCATCCAGGCGTAAGAAAACATTGTTTTAAGACTTGTTAAATTAACTGGCATAAAAAAAGCCAGTGCTAAATATCTTGCTGCAATGTTTTGGATCATTAAATAATTACAAACAGAGCAAGGTCAACAATCATAAATCTGCTTCCTCCTCAGTTATTGGTTTTCTGGGTAAAGTCCTACTCAGGTCAAATGAAAATATGCCCCACTCTAAAATATGTACAACTGTCTAAAGGTAACATTCAGTCACAGAGAATTTCTCTACATCTTTTGTGACCAAGAGGCACAAGTTAGAACAGAAGCAAAGAATAAGCAAAAAAGCTTCTAACACAGCACCAGTACAAGTTTCAAGCAAACTGTATTACATTTTCAGATGTCATCCAAGAAGCTCTACTCTTAGATTTTAGGTATCTGTAAAGCCTTTCTACTCCCTAAGGAGCCTAGGGAAGCAAGATCATTGGGAATTAGGAGGAATTCTTGCACTGAAGAATATTGGAGAAAAAAGCACCAAGTTTGCTTTTCTTTTTCACTGATATATGTTCAAATCCCTGACTCTTGCCAGGCTCTTTTTAGATCACATCAATCAAATTAAGTAATTACACATGATAAGTCTGTGCCAGCAAAGGAGCTGACTGCTGAATGAGATGCAGAACATCCGTGCCCAGCCATGGCCTGTGCAGTGCCTCCAGTCAGGGTTAATGAGCACAAAAGATCCCTCTGGCCCTGCAAAACTGAAAACACAGGTACTGTCTGTTGTCAGCGTACACAACACTGAAGAACAGATGTTTGCCCATTCAAATCCCACTGCAGCACTTCATTCCTTTAACTGGGGTATTTGGAGCAGCAGCTGCTGGCACACAAAGCAGACTAACCTGGTGAGGCCCAGAGATAAAGAGATCCTGGTTTCCTGACGTAAGAGAAGAACACATGGTGCCACCCTCGTGGTGCCTGGAGCTGGGAAGCAGATTTGGAATGGTGGGCATGGAACTGAGCCATACTCTTATCACCAAATCACCAGCACCAGAGGTGGAGAATGAAGCATTATCTCATAAAGGAACCATAATGACAACCCCTAATCCCCACAGTGATAATAAGGATAACTGAGAAGAGAAAGCTTTACCACTGTCCCTTATTATCAGACTGGTTTAGGGGAGAACAGTCAATACAACTGTGGCCTTGTATTCAACATTTCCATCACACTGAGAATGTACACATCACAAACACACAGCAAGTGGGTAGCTGGGGCTTATCCTTCTGAGATTTAGAGGTTTAGGTAGAGAGGAAACAGCTCTTGCAGAGGCAGACTGCCTCATGAAATCCCAGAGCCTTGCTGCAGCCTTTCCTTCACATCCCAACTGCTCATCTCCTCTAGGGCTGAAGGGCACCAGGAATGCTTTGTTATGACAGTCTGTGTGCCCACATGATCCCTCCTACACAACTGCATATTCACCCTTCCAGGAAGAGGAGAAAGGCAAAAAAGGAATTGCATGTAGGTGAACGATGATGAGGTTTGTGATGGGCATTCGTTCCCTGTGAGTAGTAATTCTCCAGCCTTGGCCTGGGAAAGTTCACTCAGAATGGGTGTTGTTTTCCTTTAAAATAATCTCAGATATTTGATTCTATTATCTGGTTTCCAAGTTAAAAAGAAGCAAAGGGTGTGGATAAAAGCTCTGGCTATATCCAGCTGCAAGGGAGGAAGAGGGGAAAGGAACAGAAGAGATCTGGTTAAGTTTCTATATGATATTAAGGCTGTATGTTAAACATGCATGAAAGGGTAAATTTCCAGATTAAAAATAAATAAATAAAATTTAAAGAGCCCAGTTTCCTATGCTTTCAAGATGAAATAGATTACAGCAAGAAAAGCAGAAAAAGATGACAAGTTCTCTAGGAGCAAACCTTTCCCACCATGGAAGCCCTGAGAACAGAAAGACCTGGAGCATGTCCTGAGGGCTAAGCACTCTCTTGACTGAGAAAAGGAGCAAGACTCATCAGTAAAAGAAGGACTCTTCATGGAACAGGGCTCACCTCAAGTAAGAGAGACGAAACACTTGTGTTCCTACAGAATGGCTCTCACTGTTCCTTTTCAAGGTGAAAGTCTCTACTGCCCTGTAAGGTGATTAAGTGCCATTGTGCCACCATTTCTTTATCAGTCAAGTGCAGATAAATACAAGTGGTGTTACCTGCAGGAAATCTGAACGGAAATACCAGTTTTGTACAAACAATGGGTCAAGATGGAGATTGGTGGAGTGGCAAATACAGACGACTTGCAGGCAGTGATCTGAATTGCTTGACAAGTTGCATACAAGCAGCTATTTCCCATAAATAGTAACCAGAGAAAAACCCAAATAAGCCGTAGGAAGAATGAGATCATTTCCACTTCTGAAATATTATTTAACATTAACATTTCCTTATGGGGATGGGCCCTATGCTCAAGGCCCTTACACAGAAAGGACAGACATTGCTGCCAAGTCCTGCTTCAAGGACTTGTCAGTGCAGGTCTACAATTGGTTCTTAGAAAGACGAGTCCCCTTCCTCTCCACTGGGCTGATCCCTCTAGTCCCAGCCACACACTCCTACAGTTTTCCTAATAATGCAGCTACAGGCCAGTTAGGGTAACTCAGCAGCCTGACAAAATTAAGCTACCAACCAGCCCATGCTCTTGTGAAAAGACCACTCTTCCATAAGATCAGCAAATTGGTTCGTCCCATCCTCCAACTCCACAAATTCAGTGAAAGAGAAGCAATTAAATAGGAACAGGCACAGAGGACAAGGGGGAGAACAGCACTGCCCCTTTTGCAGGCAGCCAGCCTTGGACCACATCCCAGTAAAGTTTGGATACACTTGTGGCAGTGGGAGGACAGGGCTGTCCCTTTGGACAGAGGCCATTTATGTCAGATTGGGTGCAATAGAAACCCCAGAGCCCCACGGTGACAGCTGTTACACAAACATTGACTCTCACCAGTGAGTCACATCCCTCTTGCCCCCACTTTGGCTGGCTCTGTTTGGAAATGGGCTGGTGGAGAGGAGAGCTGTGCAAAGCTCTCAAAACACACAAGCTGTAACTACTTTCTGACATTCCCTTTACTTCAGACTGCAACAGTACAGAACACAATCCACTTAATTCTAATGGAAATGCTCAAGGTGAGGCTAATCATGATGAACAGCTGAGCAGCCACCAGTGAGCTGCACTCTCCATGATCACCCCAGTCACATTTACAAAGTCCAGGAAGGGTTTGTACCATGTGGTGCTCCCATGTGCCTTGTGAGCTCTCCCAAGTTCTCCTCCTGGGGCACTGCTTGGTTCCTGCACGCTGGGCAAAGCCCAGCATGGACAGAAAGCTCAAACAGCAAAGCTGAGCTGCAGCAGACACAGACACAACCTGTACTTGAATCTGAATTGTTTTATGGTCACTCAAAGACTTAAGGCAATACCTGGTACCTGATCTTTGGGAACACATCAGGAACATCCACTTAAAAGCCCATCCTAATTTCTCACTCATTCCTTAATGCATCTCCTCTCAGTTTATTCAGCCATTCTAGAAGAGTTACCAGCTCAGGTACCCCTAACAAAACCTCTAATGGTGACTTGAAGTGGACAAATCCTGCAAAATAAAACCACATTAAACTGCTGTCATTTGCCAATGATGCAAGCATTGAAGGAGTGAATATCTGGAGTTTTCTGTTTCTAATTGCAGATGATGTATGCACAGAGGAAGGATGCTCTTGTGGCTACAACACAGGAAACTGTATTAAGTAACAGATGATCTGGATTCTGTTTTATTTCCTATGTGCAAAAACAAACCATACAGAAAGAAAAAAGAAAAGCATGTACTTAGGGTGTGCCCCAGTTACCCTACAAGAAAGCAAACATCATTCCTGTAGCCAGCAGGTCATGTTAGGAGGCTTAAGGAATTCACAGGCACAAAGGACTGGGGTCTTCAGTATTAAGAAGTTATTAATTAATGCTGAAAATTCATTTTTTAACCTAAAACATGAGACATGTGGGCCCTACTTTGTGCGAGCTGCCCATTTGAGGGGTGCAGCCAAGCACTGATCTGTATATTGTGGCTTTGGAAGGGTGTGTGGCAAGATAAGCACCTGAGGTGGCTTGCACTGTTCCAAAGACAGGACTGAAATCTCACTGTGAACTCAGAAACAGGGGGAAAATATATGGAAAAGAGCAACAGGAAGGACCACTGAGTATCAATGCTCTGCAAGAGGCCAAATTTGGTGATAGCATTTCCAAGCTGAGCGACAACAGCCTTGGAGAAATGCTGCTCTTGTGAGTCCAGCTCATTCCTCCAATGACTCCCCAGTGTTTACATCTTCTGTTGCTCATATGCAAATAACATTAATCAGCTGCCTTTTAAAGCACTGATAAATAGGCAACCTTTGGAAAGTTTTACAGTTTCCCAGCAAAGCCACACGCAGTATCAGGAATGGGGTTTGTCACACTGATATAGCACAGGGTAGGAGAATATGTCCCAGTTTCTCAAATCACAAGGAAGTAGCTGCTCTGCTCCATTCTCTTCACTCTGGAAAATGTAAGGAGCACCAAAAAACAAAGAGAAAATAGTCTAATAAAGTAGTATTAGCACAGAATCAAAACCATTTACATCCGTGATTCCTCAGATGATTAATTATTGCTTCAATTGAGCCTGAAAATATATTTTAACTTACACTCATTTACAAAATGAAAAGCAAGTGAAATCCCTTATTTTAGATCTACCCCTGGCAGTCAGGTGTGGGAGAAACTAGCACTTTTTACTCCACAGCTTATGCTTCATTGATACTGAGCCCTACCTCCCTAGCCTAGATCCATAATAAAAAATTCATTTCTCTCCCCAGATCTAAGATGGTAACTCAGGGTTGGAAGCAAGATCTGGAGGCTAGTCTACCTTTTTTTTTATTTCTTTTTTTTGCATCCCCTTGAGTAAAATTTTGCAAAATAAATTATGGAAATTTCAGCAAATCCTGAAAGCACAGGGAAGCTGCTCTGCTGGCAGCCTCCAGGAGGGAAGGTGTGCCCTCCCTCTTCCCAGCATGCCCAAAGCTGCAAAGGTCTCTTGGGGTTGCTAGCAAGCCTCAAGCTGCTTTCCTCTACTCTGGGTTATCCCTCCCATTAATAATGCCAGAAAGGATCTCCATCTTGCAATGAACTGGAGCTGCAGGCTTTATTCTGCTTCCCTGTGTCATTTACCTTCCTCCCAGACTTCAAGCAAATTACACTTTGCCCCTTTAAAATATTTTCCAACCAGATCCCCAGGTGCTTTGCAAAACTGAAACATAAAACACAGGATCTTGATAATGCACGTTGGCAACTGTATCACCTGGACTGAGAAGGAAATGAAAACACCCAGCCTTCAGTCCTGGCAGAATTTGAAGGTGTATGAGCAAGGGAATATCCCTGACTTGGAACAAGCATCCACAGCAGCCTGCAGGAACAGACTCCTTCCATTTAGTAGCAGAAACATACCCAAGACAGCAGAAAATCCTAGAGCCATCACGGTTGGAAAAGATCTGCAAGCCCAAGTCGAGTCCTTGACCAAACACCACGTCAACTCAACAAAAGCATTAAGTGCCACCTAAAATCCTGTCTTGAACACTTCCAGAGATGGTTCTCACACACAGTTCTCAAGAATGCAGACAATTTCAGTCTGATTTCAGAAATGCAGAAAGCAAGGCATAACAAAATTAATCACAGCCACCAAAAAATAAATTAACTCAAAAGTTAACTACGCAGCACCAGCATCGGAGGCACAAAGAGCAACTTGCAGAAGCTGCCAAAAACCTGAAGGAAGAGTTGAGACACAGAATCCGTGCATTGGTCCTGAATCTCACCTTCAGTTTAGTATTACAGTCAGATCAGGTCAGCACTGGGCAAAGACACACTGCTCCTCTGGCAAGGCTTCACACAGACACACGTTTGAAAAATAAAGTGTGTGCACTTCAGGAACATAAAAATGCTTTATGGAATCCTATTTTTAACACTAAATGCCACAATGAACTATGGGAAAATCTAGAATTACAGCAGGAAACAGAAGAAAAAGCTCAGATGACCTAAGCCCAGGGATCCTTCAGAGGTGCAACTACAGAGGATCACAGGAGCCCTGGGGCTCTCACAGCTGCTGTTGAGGGAGCACATTCTTCACGATCTTCTGGAGAAAAACAAACAGATCCTGACCACGCTGCTGGCAAAACAAAAGGAGGCTCGGAATTCACAAGTTCTTGCATGCACCTGCAGGGATATTTGACAAAAGTGAACCCGCTAGATCCTGTTACTGTTGACATTTCATCTGCCACAGAGAGCTATCCAGAAGTCACACAGCAGTATCAGGGTGTTCACTGGAGGCAGCACAACTGCAAGTCCACTCAGGCCTTCCCTGCACCTGTATTTTTCTCCATCTCTAGTCACTCTTGCAGGAGGCAGAAGCAAACACTTCCTCACAGTGCTTTTCCAAGTCCACAGACTACACAGGATGGTTAAGATGTCAAATTGCCTTTAATGTGCAACTTTTAAACACCCAAGGGCAGGCAGATGAATCCTGCCTGGCATCTGACACAATGCCAACCCTCATTGTGATGAGAATGAGTCTTTGGATTTAGCAGTTTGCTTCTCATAATCTCCAAAGCCTCTAACTGTTGGCTATGCCTCTAACAGGTTCCTCAAGCACTTTTATAGACCCATCCTCAGCAAACAGATTTCACTTTCAGTTAAATAACGTTCCAAAAGTCCAAACAGGCAAACAAAATAGGTGGCATTCCTCCTCCCCTCGTCCCCATCTGCACCACAGGACACTGGACCCCCCAGCAGAAGAGAGCCAGGCAAGTCTGTAATGTGGACAGGCACAGCTCCCACCAAATTTAAGACAATTTGAATCCAACTGTGGCTTGAGCATCTTGTAATTTTTACAGCCTTTAACTCTGGGCACCTCACAGACTGTAAAAATATTCTCTGCATAAAGAAAGATCTGAAGCTCTATATATATAGTGTTTGCTAAAAATACCTCTTTGGAGACATCCCTTGCCAAACAGGTGCCAAAACTTCAAAGGCTGAATTATCATGTTGAAATATTTGAAATGCAAGTTGTTATGATTCTTGTGAGGCATGGCTGGCAGGCAGGCAGAGATGGCATCTTTCAGCTCCAAGACCTGGTCCAGGCAGTAACTGGAAATTGCTCTTTGGTGGCTTACGTGAAATGAGTCAAGGGATCTCAGTCCAGCTCGCAGCAAATTAAGAACCACATCACAAAAGCATCTGTAATAGTCACTTCCTTTGTTGATACCATTCTAAAGGCCAAGGACTGAATAAGGTAGGGAAAAAGAATTATCCTCCCTCAAAATAGCCCTCTCCTTCAAAACACAAAGTGCTTTTATCCAGTATCTTTTGTGAAAGCATCCCAGTGCATTTTTACTAATATGAACTAATCTAAGCACTCCTTTAAGTAATACCTGGAACCCAACACTTTACCAGTAGTAAAGCCCAAGACCTGCTGGCTTCCAATATGCTAGAACCATGCAAAAGGAGAGCAGGAATATTCCCATCCATCATTCTAACTGCATTTCTTTCTGAAGCCAACCAAAGTTTCAGAGCTCTCAAGCATTTTTCTTTAAGAAAATTTAGCACAGAAACAGAGGTTCACCTTGAACCAACCACTTCATTTCAAAGAAATCAATCATTTTGTATTTGCCTTGTATTCTGCCAGTAAAAGGGCATGAAGCAAGCAATACAAATTTAGAAAACTAAGTAACAATATTACAGACTCTGCTTTAAGAAAACAAAGTAATTTTAGCTGGATGCGTCACAAACACAATTCAGAGCAATAGCTTTCAAAACATCGGTCGATTCCATTAATTAACTGGAACTTCTTGTATTGGGATGGCACGAGGTAACAGTCTAATCAGACAATATTAGGGGACTGGTGCTGCTCAGTAAATTCAGAGATGCCAAGCTGAGCAGAAAGATTGTGTTTCATTCAGAGATGAAAGCCTTCTGAATTTTGGTGCTTTGTAAACAGCTGCTAAACTGATTGAACGATGCCTGTGAAGTACACAGGGTCAAATGTGGCCAGTACCTCAAAGAGCACCACGTTTCAATATTGAAAAAGCACTCGTGAAAAACATCTCTGTACACTCATATCTGCCTAGCAGTTCAAAAAATGTCCTAAGTATCCACAACAGGCAGGATTATTCTTTGTCAATCCCCTCTCCCTCAAAGCTGATGAGAATTATACCACCAAATTCAATATGGATAGCAGATTTATCAAAAAAAGAGGCTTCTTGGTTAGAATTAGCATTGGCCGAAGTACCAAAGGAAATAAAGAATTACAAGAAATCCTTAGGTGTTTATTTCATTCACACA